ATATACACATATATGTCCTCATGGGATATCTCAGAATTGGAAAGTTCTTTAGAAGTCATCTTTCCAACCTATAAATTGGATTTGATATGGGCAAAGACACCCTGAAGCCTAGCTGATTTCACAGGAGGCTGAAAGATTTCCTTGATCCCAGGAGACCTTGTAGTGCTTTCCTCAGTAATCATATTACTGGGGGCAGATCTATTTTGGAAACATGGACGTAGAAAGGGCTTTCTGAAGCCATCCCACCCATACTCCTGATATGATTTCTTTTCTAGCGTTAGATATTTGCAAAGACAGACAATGCAGCTTTCTTCAGTAGGCCAGTTTCAAGTTTCATCTGTGAAGTCAGGAATCTCTTTTGAATAGATGACCCAAATCCTTTAATTTTTCAATGAAAACTTATTTCCTTGTGATTTGCAGAGAAGAGCGTAACGTAGCCACCAGTGGACCAGAAGTTAGTTTCTCATGTTGCTCTATTTTACCCCTCCTATGTACACAATCATATTCTAACTTGTATTCATGGAAAGAAAATCAGACTCGGACTCAAGAAATCTAGTTTCTCATGCCAACCCTGATACTTTCTAACTGTGTGACTTTGGGCAAATCATTACCTTTGAAAGCCTAAGTTTCCTCATTGTAAGGGAAATGCCTTATAGACTTTAAAGTCCTATAGCAATACGTCTTACTATTATAGCTTATCCCCCTAATAGATAGAGTAGAGGGTCCTTAGAGGCAAGGACTATGGCCTTTTTAATATTTGTACCCCATTAAGGCCTAACAAAGTACCTCCTTCTCCTAAAATTTTGGTTCAGATCTGTGATTTCATCAATGTGAATTCTTGGTACATAAACTCTTGTTCTGATGAAAATCTGGAACTGGTCTATAACTTCAAGTCTTAGAATCTTGCTTGGGCCACTGAGAAGTTGTGACTTATTTGTCTCTGGTCATTCATTTAAGTCAGAATATGTCAGAGAAAGTCTGTGAATCCAGTCATTCTCTCATCTTCCTTGTATTATTAAGTTTTTAGTATCTGTTGATGTAAATTTCTTTTTTTCTTCTCTCTTCCACCCTAAATTAAAAAAAAAATTAAAATGAAAAAATAGTATTTGTTGAACTGAACTGAATTGACCTGAGCAATCTACACTTTCTCAGAGAAGAGATGTGTACATGTGTGGGGCACAAAGTCAGCTAGCTCCAAAGCTCTCACCTCTGTCCTACCTCCGTGGGAGAGTTGAAAATTTATTTCCCCCCAGGAACATACCCCAGAAGTCCTACTGAAAGAAATTCTGCTCAGTAGCTTGGCATCATAAGGACTTGGCTGGCTTACTGGGTGGAGCTAGTTTGGCTCTGAATCCTCATGTTAAAAATAAATGCAGTTTATTGCTCTTAGTTCTTAACCCATTAACATCTCTACTGCTTTCTTCCTCCTTTCCCCTCTCTCAATCCTTCCTCCACCTCAGTAAATTTCTTTAATTTCTTTCCCCAAGATTCTTCCTTTTGTTGCTTTGTTTGGATAGCCACTTTAAGAATATCAAACAAGTTCCTGGAATCTCTTGAAAAACTCATTCAGAAGTCTATTAAAGGGAAATCAACAATAGCCATTGTTAGAAACCAGTATCCTACTTCATTCATTTGATTCATTAATTCATTCAGTCAATAAGCATTTATTTAGTACTTGCTATGTTCCTGGCATCGTGCTCCCACTAGGGATACAAAGTGCTGCTGAAGAAAGGTGGAGACCCTTCTGACTGGGTCCCCTACACATTTATTTACACAACCTCAACTGGTGGGGCAATCCTACTACACCTCCCTTATGAACTCACTATCCCACTCTCCATAGCAGCTCTTCCAAACCTTTCCATCCCTCCTCAAACTTCCCATACCTTCCCTTCCCTTCCCCGACTCTTTCAGCTGAGAACCTTCCTCCTATGTTACAGACAAACTGGAGGCCATTCACCAGGACCTCCATCTTCTTCCTTCTTCCTCATCTCTTATCACTCAGGTACCTTTTGCTACTGTCTCCTCCTTTATCCCTGTCTCACATGATGAAGTAGCCTTGCGTCTTACCAAGGCTACTTGTTTAAGTGATCCCATTCCATCCCATCTCCTCCACGAGATTGCCTCCTCTATTTTCCTCACTCTTGTTTATGTTCATTCTCTCCCTCTCTCTTGGCTCCATTTCTATTGCCTACAAACAGGTCCATGTCTTTCCTATTCTGAAAAATCCCTCACTTGATCCTTCCACCTCTGCTAACTATCATCCTATATCCCTTTTGCCCTTAGGAGCTAACATCCTCGAAAAGGCCATCTACAATAGGTGCCGCCACTTTCTTTATCTCTTCTTAATTTCTTGCAATATGGCTTTCAAACTTATCATCCTACTGAAACTGCTCTGTCCAAAATTACTAATGATCTCTTAGTTGCCAAATCCAATGGTCTTTTCTCAATCCTTATTCTCCTTGACCTCTCTGAAGCCTTGTTAATCACTCCCTCCTCCTTGATACTTCTTGTCTTTGGGTTTTCAGGACAGCACTCTCTCCTGGTTGTCCTTGAACCTATGTGACCACTCCTTCTCTGTCTCCTCGCTGGATCCTCTTCCAGATCACTCTCTCTAACCATGGGTGTCCCTGAGGGTTCTGTCCTGGGCTGCCTTATCTTTTCCCTCTGTATTACTTCACTTGGTTATTTCATCAGTTCTCGTGTATTTAATTATTATCTTTATGCTGATAATTCTCAGATCTACCTGTCCTGCCCCAAACTCTCTGCTGACCTCAAATTTCATATTTCCAACTACCTCTCAGACATCTTGAACTGGATGTCCAGTAGACATCTTAAATTCAAAACGTACATAATGGAACTCATTATCTTTCCCCTTAAACCCTTTCCACCTCCTACCCTCCCAGTCCACCTTTGCAACATCTCTCCTATATGTCCCCTTCTCTCCTCTGACCCTGCCGCCACTCTGGGGCAGGCCCTCATCTTTTTATGTCTATAACATTGCAATAGGTCTGTGTGCCTCAAATTCCTCCCCTCACTCCAGGCCACTCTCTATTCAGCCACAAAAAAGATTTTCCTAAGGTCTCATCATGTCACCCCCCCTAGTCAATAAAATCCAGGGGTTTCCTATTGCCTCTATTTTGTTGCTATTGTTCAGTGATGTCTGATTCTTCATCACCCCAAACCTCCTCAAACTTCCCATACCTTCCCTTCCCTTCCCCGACTCTTTCAGCCGAGAACCTTCCTCCTATGTTACAGACAAACTGGAGGCTGTTGCCAGGAACTCCATCTTCTTCCTTCTTCCTCATCTCTTATCACTCAGGTACCTTTTGCTACTGTCTCCTTCTTTACCCCTGTCTCACATGATGAAATAGCCTTGCATCTTACCAAGGCTACCCCATTGTCCATGGGGTTTTCTTGGCAAAGATCCTGGAATGGTTTGCCATTTCCTTCTCTTTGGATAAAGGCAAACAGAAGTTAAGTGACTTGCCCAGGGACACACAGCTAGTAAATATCTAAGACTGGATTTGAATTCAGGTCTTCCTGACTCCCAGGCCCAATGCTTTATCCACTGAGCTGCCCCTGAGATCATATACAAAATGCTCTATTTGGCATTCAAAGCACTTCATAATCTAACCCTCTCTTTACCTTTCCAATCTTTTTTTTTTTTTTTGGTTAGGCAATGGAATTAAGTGACTTGCCCAGGGTCACACAGCTAGTAAGTGTTATGTGTCTGAGGCTAGACTTGAACTCAGGTCCTCCTGAATCCAGGGCCAGTGCACTATCCATTGCTCCACCTAGCTGCCCCTACCTTTCCAATCTTCTTACACCTTCCTGTCTGACATTACTCTTTGATCCAGTGATAATGGCCTCCTGACTGTTCCACGGACAAGACATTCCATCTCTCAGCTCTGGACATTCTCTCTGGCTGTCCTCCATGCCTAGAGTGGTCTCCCTCCTCCACTCTGACTATTGACCTACCTGGCTTCTTTTAAGTTCCAATTAAAATCTCACCTTCTACAGAGGAAGCCTTCCTAACCCTTCTTAATCCCAGCACCTTCTCTTTGTATATATTAGTTTGCATGTTGTCTCCCTCGTTAAATTGCAAGCTTCTTGAGGGCAGGGACTTTCTTTTCCTTCTTTTTGTATCCCCAGAACTTAGCACAGTGCCTGGCACAAAATAGGTCTTAATAAATGTTTATCAAATATTTTTAAAATATTAAAAAACATAGACAACAAAATAATCCCTTTTGTCAAGGATCTAAATCTCTTTAAATTTGTCGATTTCCTTTGTTTCTTTTGTCCATTCTACTAGGGCTAGGAGTATGATGGAGATGGGGGAACAACACACACATAGAACAAAACATACACAAAATAAAATTTAAAAACTGCCTGAAGGAGAGTCCTAACAATTACAGGTAGGGTGCTATGATTTCATATAGTACTCTTTCTTTTGGGAAACCTGCCATCCTTTCTTTAACATAGTTGCTTGCCTCTCCTATTTTATTAAATACATATGGTCACTTTTGCAAGGTGCAGAGAGAGGAGACAGAACACTGCCTTTGTCTCCTTTAATATAAGAATCCTGTAAGCCCTCAGCTCAGAAGATCATTTAGCTTGGCAACTAGCTCAGTGTTACTGCTCCTTTTGAACATGGTGGTGGGGTGTGTTGTGTGTGTGTTGTGTGTGTGTGTGTGTGTGTGTGTGTGTGTGCTTTCTTCCTCCCGGGGAGGCTGTCTACCTCCTGGGAGTTTAAATAACTGTTTTCCTTCCCTACTGCACTTCAGACAATTTGATTCTTGAAGGATAATGATATGACTTGAGAAAATGAATGCATTGCTTCTATCCTCCCATGCGAGAGAAGCTGATTGGTGCTTTCCAGCCTTCTGCAGCACCTTGAAAACAGTCAAATTCCATTGATTTACCTGGAGAAGCCTATGCATGTCTGGGCAACAGCTGCATTGTTTGGATGGAGTCATCACCGGATGAAGCTGCATTAGCTCAGCCAGGGAGCACTTTTTGCTCTTTTTAAACTCTGTGGCACTGAGAATGAAGTCACTTCTCTTCTCTTAAAACCAACAGCTTTGCCCTAAGGTTTCCTGTTATTATTATTTTCAGCCAGCTGCTGCTTGTGGATGGTCTTTTGAGGTAAGGAAGTTCTTGCTCTGTTGTCTTAAGGGTGGCTTTGGGCAATTTCTCTGGTGAGAAGGGGGCCAGGCCATGCATGGCTCAGGGACTCATAGCTGTACATGGGGAGGCAGTCAGGCCAGCTAGAGGCAGCATGGGGTGCCTGGGTTTGGACCTGGGCTAGAATCTCAGCTCTGCCATCTGTGTGTCCCTAGCCAAATCAACCTCTCTAGTTTCCACTTTCTCAACTGTAAAATGAAGTAGGGTTGAACTAAATGACCTCTCAGGTCCCTTCCAGCTCTAAACGCATTGAGATCTCAGAAGATCCTAGCCCCTGGTGCTGAGAGGCAGAAACAGCATTTTTGCCTAAGAAAGCTGGTTCTGAGGTCTTGGGGTCTGCAAGCTGGGTAAGGAGTTCCTTATTTAGCTTTGAGTTGGGGAGAGTGAGATATAAGAGTAATGATAGATAGTATTTATATAGCACTTTAAGGTGTACAAAACACTTTACATATATCCCATAGCGATGCTGAAACCAAATTTGGCATCTGCCTCAAGAGCAAGGAGCAAGGTGGCAGCTTGAGGAGAACCAGGGCCATGTGGTCTCAATTAATTGTTGCTGAATTGTTCACTCTGCTTTCCTTCCCAAGGCTTTCAAAACTGGGCTTGTGTTTTTGGCAGGACCCTTAGCAGTCTGATGACACCTATTGATAGCCAGAAAATCAGCATCTCTCCAGAGAGCCTTCATTTCCTGATTAGTCTGCTTACACTCCTCATTTTTTCCTTAGGAAGATAATGGCACCTGAACTCTGTCCCAACATAGTGATACTTTGTTTGAATGAGCACTTCACTGGCTAGGAGAGGGGTTTTCAAATAGCTTTTTCCTCTGGTTCGTGGGACCATCTTCTTACTCTTTGCTTTCCCATTAATGGTGGATCTGTTGACAAAAGGGATCATAAAATCCTTCCATCAGGATGGGGGTAGTTAACTGAAGTTTCCCTGCAGAATTTTCAGCCTGTTTATATGAGTCATTCTTATTGCCTAAATTACCTCAACTCTACTTAATCTTTGGTTGGCTTAATGAAGACATCATATTTATGGCAGAGGAACATGCCGGGTGATGATAAATAGCTTTTGGAGGCAGTCAAGCAATGATTAAGCCAAGACATTTGACAATTACAGGGGGCCCTTTATTACATTATATACCCCAATGCCAGAAAAATCATTCCTCTCCTGGGACAAGGCCCCTAGCAGCCCAGCAACCTAACGTGAAAAAGGTGGAAAGGATCTCGTTTGGACAGGAGATTTTAAGCCGCTCCTTTCCTTTTTATTTTTTTTCCTAGAAAACATTTCCAGAAGTTTCTATGTCTAGAAAACAGTTTTAGAGAGCTAGAAGTAGCAGCAGGGCTAGGTATGTGTATATGAGAATCCATTTATAGTGTTCAGTCTCTAGCCATGAAATATGTTATTACATCTGTTTTGTGTGTTTGTGTTTGTATGTTTGTGTTTGTGTGTTTGTGTACAACAGTGAGAAGCATTGTGGCATAGTGGATAGAGGACTGGCCACGGAGTTAGGAAGACCTGGGTTCAACTACTGTCTTTGACACATAACGGACAGCCAGGTGGCAAAGTGGTTAGAGCTTGAGGTTCTGGAGTCAGGAAGATCTGAATTCAAATCTGGCCTCAGACACTTACTAGCTGCATGACCCTGGTCAAATCACTTAACCCCAATTGCCTCTCCCTCCCTAAATATATATCGATAGCTATATCTATATATCTTCACCCTTTCAGAGTTTGGAGTTGGGAGGCATTATACTTTAATATTGACTTAGGAACACTTATATTTAAGCTTAATTGTATTTAAGCTGAATGGTCAAGTACATAGAGAGGAATAAGATGTAAGAAGACTGGGAAGAGGTGTGTGTGTGTGTGTGTGTGTGTGTGTGTGTGTGTATGACAGTCGATTGTAAATGACTCTAAATGCCAAATGGAAGGTTTCATATTTGATCCTAGAGGTAATAGTGAGGCACTGAAGTTTATTGAGTAGGGGGTGACATGGGCAGACCTACCTTTTAGGAAAATCGCTTTTACAGCTGAGTGGCGGATAGATTGGATACTTGAGGAAAGGAAACCAAGCGGCAAGGTATTGCAATAATCCAGGTGATGAGGGACTGTTTTAGGAGAGTGCCTTCATCAGAGGAGAGAAGAGGGTATAAAAAGATATTTCAAAGGTAGAATTGATAGGACTTCGCAACCGTTTGGATATGGGAGCTGAGAGTGAAGTGCAGAGGCTGATGTATAGGTTGTAAGCCTGGGAGACCGGACTATAAGAATGGTGGTGACCCCTACAGTAATAAGGAAGTTAGGAAGAGGAAAGGGCTATACGGGAAAGATAATGAATTCAGTTTTGGAGATATTGAGTTTAAGATGTCTATAGGATATCTAGTTCTAGCTGTCAAACAGGTAGTTGGAAAGACGTGAGAACAAAATGTTAAAGATGGTTATCAAGATATTAAAAATTATATAAAATTTATTGTATAAATTATATATTAAATTATATATAAAAATTATAAATAAAATTATATATAATTATATATTATAACATATACAATATATAATATAATATATAATATATAATAATATATAATATATAAAATTATATATAAAAATATAAAAAATATTAAAGATGGATATCAAGATACTAAAAAAAATTCACCTGCTCCTGGTTAAGAACCCTTGCCCTAGGTTAGATGATGTTCCTCTGGTGGCAGGGCAAGGATACTAGGGAGCGCATTTGACATTATATGTGGCAAGGCTACATATCACTAAGGAAAAGGGTTATTTTAGTTACATAGAGAGGCAAAATGATCAATTATTTTGTAAACTGATTATTTCATTCTTAATAAAGTCAATGAAAAATCTCTGAATCATTCTCTCCCTTCCCTCTTCATAGGCAGACACATTGACTCAGCTTCCTTTTTGGACCACCCTCCCCACCATCACCCACTGCCTGCCCCCTTGATACTGCCTCCCCTTCAAGCAGAGGAAAAGTCAAGAATCCTAGGATCCAGTGGAAAATATTTTCTTAGAAATTAGTAAGTAGGGGCAGCTAGGTGGCGCAGTAGATAAGAGCACCGGCCCTGGATTCAGGAGGACCTGATTTCAAATCCAGCCTCAGACACATAACACTTACTAGCTGTGTGACCCTGGGCAAGTCACTTAACCCCATTGCCTAGCCAAAAAAAAAAAAAAAAAATTATTAAGTAACTGAGAATCACAGAGCAAAGTTTCTAAAGGAAGAGTCTAAAAAACACATTTGTAAATATTCTTGTACCAACACTTTGATGGCTATTGACTGAGCCTTCTACCAGCAGAAAGAGAAATCTTCCAGGGACTGACTACATAGATTTCTGAGAATTGTAGCCCAAGTGACTAGGTTTTTGGAAACCTTCCTCATCTGTCTGCAGATGAGTCTGCTTCACAGCGTGCCTACATTACCATAAATTCTCAAAAACTCCAGAGTCCTGCCAGGCCTAGAGACCTCTTCTCTGAACCACATCAGAGTGGTAAGTAGGGCCTTGTGGGGTCTCCTCTGGGAGGGCTGTTATTACCTTTTGCTCCTGTGGAAATTTGTATCTGATACATATATTTACCAGGCTAACCCCTAGAGAAGCACAGTAGGACTGATGGGAGGTCAGCCTCTTTGGTGTGTGATAACCCCCTTGACAGAGGATATTGGGAAGGCTTTTTTGTTTTTGTTGAGTCATTTAGTCATGTCTGACTCTTCATGACCACATGGATTTGTTCATGGGGTTTTCTTGGCAAAGATATTGGAGTGGTTTACCCTTTCTTTCCATAGTGTGTCTCCATTTTATAGACGAGGAATTGAGGCAAACAGGGATTGTGACTTTCCAGGAGTCAAACAGCTAGTAAGTGTCTGAGACTGGATTTGAATTCGCATCTCCATGACTACATGCCTGGTGCACTATCCACTGCCCCACCTAGCTGCCCCTGGGAAGCCTTTAGTCAACAGCGATTCTGCTTGCTCCTTCCCTGAGGAGAATCTATTTGTACATCTTCCCCCAACCCTGACCTCTTCCAGGTGGAAAAGGTGAAGTGGGGGGAGAGCAAGGTAATGGGCCAAATCACTGTCAGAAATTTTTTGGTGATTTTTCTTTTTAAATTAAAAATATAAGTGTTGTATTTACAGTGATTTGTTCAAAATGAAAAATATATATATATTTTTAATTTACTGTTTATTTTTCAGATATTTTTGTATTGACCAGTCTCATTTCTTACTAAATATGTTTGTTCGTAGATTAGAGGGAGAATAGGTGTTATGAATATTAAAGAATCTTTTCGGACCCAAGATCTATGATTTCATAGATATAAGGAAAACTCCATAAATTTGAGGAAACTCTCTCTACCAGTTCAGCTCATTGCAGACTCTAAAATTTTCAGTCTCAGGGCAAGAGTTCTTAATGTTGTTTTGTATCGTGGAGCCCTTTGGCAGACCCCTTCTCTGAATCACATATGAAATAAAATATATAGGATTGATTATGAAGAAAACAAATGAAATTAAAATGTTATAAAAATATTTAAAAACAAAAAAATTTATGATTTCAAGTTAAGAGCCCTTGTCTTAGGGAGTTGCTTGATCTAGAGATCCTGCTTAAGGTTACACAGCCAGTGTGAGTTTGAATTGGGGTGGGACTTAAATCCAGGTCTCTTCCAAGTCTCAAATTCTGTGATTTCTATGATACTATCTACTAGTATCTGTCTTTCAATGTAATCAAGAATATAACCATATATTAATTATGTTTATATATAATTTATGTGCATACATATATTTCTGTATTATATGTCTATGTAAATATACACATAAATATGTATTTGTGTACATGTATATATACATATCTATACATATATATGTAGATTCCCCATATATTTCATATACATGAAATTTCCCATATATTCTCCATACTTTTGACAACCATCTTCCTCTTGAATAAAATTCTTCTCTC